AGTATGGGAGAAAATATTTGCAAACTATGTATCTGACAAAGATGTACTATCCAGAATCTATAAGGAACTTAAATCAACCAAAAATGAATAATCCCGTTAAAAAATGTGCAAAAGACATGAAGAGATACTTTTCAAAAGAAGACATACAAACAGCCAACAAACAGATGAAAAAATGCTCATCATCACTAATTATCAGATAAATGCAAATCAAAACCACAATGAAATACCATCTCACACCAGTTAGAATAGTGATTTTTCAAAAGTCAAAAAACAACAGATATTGGCAAGGCTGTGGAGAAAAGGAGATGCGTATACACTGTTGGTGAGAACGTAAATTAGTTCAGTCATTGTGGAAAGCTGTTTCAAGATTTCTCAAATTACTAGAAACTGTTTGACACAGGAATCCCATTGCTGGGTATATATTCAAATGAAAACAAATTGTTCTACCAAAAAGACACACACACTTGTATGTTCATCACAACAGTATTCACAATACCAAAGACATGGAATCAACATAGGTGCCCATCAGCAGTGGATTGGATAAAGAAAGTGTGGTAAATATGTATGATGGAATTCTATGCAGCCATAGGAAAGAATGAAATCATGTCCTTTGCAGTAACATAGATTCAGGTGGAGGCCATAATCCTAAGCAAATTAATGCAGGAACAGAAAATCAAATGCTGCATGTTCTCACTTATAAATGGGAACTAAACACTGGGTTCTCATGGACATGAAGACAGCAATGGTACACACTTGGGACTACTAAATGGGGAAATGTTGGAGGGGGACAAGGGTTGGGAAACTAACTGTTGTGTACTATGCTAAGTACCTGGGTAATAGGATCATTTGTACTCCAAACCTCAGCAACACACAATATACCCAGGTTAAAAAACCTGCACATGTACCCCCTGAATCTAAAATAAAAGCATCACTGTTTACAATAGCAAAGACCTGGAACCAACCCAAATGCCCATCGACGATAGACTGGATAGGGAAAATGTGGCACATATACACCATGGA